CCCCGCCCCTTCGCGGTGGCCCGTTGAATGCCGTGGGATGGAGACGGGGAGGGGAGGGGAGGGGAGGGGGAGAAGAGAGCAGGAGAGCAGCGGGAGGGGGAGAAGAGAGCAGCAGGAGGGAAACACCCACGCCAAACATGCGCCCAACAACACGACCAGCATCACAAGCGGCGGCGATATCGTCAACGCAGGGGAAGAGTCTTCGAAAGACACACAAACAAACAAAAATAGAATCATGGCAAGGGAAACTAAAACACGAAAACGAAAAACGAACATACATTTTTGCTCATTCTTTTCCTTCTCGTTTACTCGCTGTTTCTTTGTTTTTGTTGGTGTTTATTTGCCCAGTCGTGTGTGTGTATACGCCGCACTGCATTCACACACCACACACACAGAGAGACAGACACGAGGCGCCACACGAGACGCGACGCACAGCAGCAGCCTGTGTGGCCGTGACATCGCCCAACCAGCCATCCACAATGGGATTCCATCGCTGAACCGTTCATATCCGCGGGAAAAACAAAAAAAAAAAACACACACAAACAAACAAACACACAAAACAAAAAAAAAAAAGCAACATCAAAAAAGAAAAGAGGTAACCAGCCAAGGAAGCAGTAAAAAAGAACATCCCCCGAAAACAAACAAACAAACAAACAAAACAAAAACTAACAAATGAGGAGAATGATGAGGAGGTATTGAGGAGCAAAAAAGAGAGAGAGAGAGAGGGGGAGAGGGAGGAATCAAATCAAAAAAAAAATTGTTTTGTTTTTTGCTGTTAAGCAGTGGGGGAGGATATATATATATATATATATATATATATACAGCGTGCCCTGACACCGAGCTGCCCACAGGGTGGAGCAAGGCACAGACAGTCACGCACAGCGATCTCCCGCCCCCTCCGCCGCACAGCACCGCCGCTGCCGCGTGGTCACATCGCACACACCAGTGTGTGTGTGGCAGATGCACCAATGCCAATGGCAGCGGCAGACTCCTGTCTCCACGTCCCCTGAATTCATACACACGAAACCGCAACGACGACGACAACAAAGAACTTCTTGTCACATCTTTATTTTTTACTCTCTTCTTGTTTTCTCGGTTTTTTTTTTTTGGTGGTTTTTGTTTCACACTGGTGTATTGATTCTCAAATCCATCCCTCCGTTTTGTGCCGCTTTGACCTCTGCGAGCCAACAACGAATGCCCGCGCACTTCGTCACAGCCTCGTTCATCTCGCGCTGCGTATCCCAGTGCGGCGCGGGAGGCCTTCGGACCACCGCCTGTGTGGGACCGGCAGGAAGAGGGCCAGGTGCCGCCCCCGCTGCAGGAACATAACGGTCCGTCCGCCGCACCGCCAGCGCGTCTGGCGTGCCGTCGCACCACGCTTTGCCCACTTCGGCGTTGTCGATGTGTGGCACCGACCGGACGTGCGCCACGTGCTCCGACAACAGCACGGCGTTGCGCCGCTTGGCCTTCTCCTTGACTGCATAAATGGTTGCCTCCACGGCGTACATAGCTGTTGCCTTGCCAGTCTTCTCTGCGTCGTCCGCTTGAGAGCCTTCCCACATAAACCCAGCGATACCAACACCAAACACGCACGATGAGGTGGTGGAAATGCTAAGTGCATCAAAAGCCTCCTGATCATTATGATAACTGTCATCCAACCCTTTCTGGCGCATGCCATTGCCGAAGCAGTGGTGGTGGCGGTCGTTCGGGGACGACGGCAACCCACCGGTGACCACTGGTTTTGCGTCCGCACTCAGCGCATCGCATTGCCCAAGTGAAGGCACACACCTGGCGCAGTGTCGGCGGCGCTCATACTGGCAAAATACCTCTAATGACTGGGACGGGCGACTTTGCGGATTGCCGCAGTACGCGTTCACGCGCAACGACACTGGTGGCCGAGCTTCTACCTTTGGCATGAGAGTCGCCGCCGCCTCATTGCACTGTGGGGCCAACGCGTGGGCAAGGGCATTCGCCCTGCTGTCGGCAACCGCTACAGTAGCAGCAGTGACAGTGGACGCGTGTGCGGGGTTCGTCACAGTCCCCGTCGTGTCCTCCCTGACGCCTCTGCTGGCGCCATCTAACTTGGAGTTGTGTCGCCGCTCAATGACCGCCTTGAAGAGGAGTGACTTGCCTGCACTCCGGGTCCTACTGCTTTTTGCGCTGGTGACCCTCGGCGAGCTCTCCTCGATTTTCTTGCGAGTTGCATCAGTGGACACGGAGAGATCACCTATTGTTTGGTTCGGCCACGTTCCCGTGCTCGTTAGAGCCTCAAGTGAACTGCTTTGGGCCGTCGAATCTGGCGAGAATACCACCTTCAACGGTGTGTGCCTGCCTCCCATGTGCGGCACGGTGCTCACTCCCTCCAGCTCTACCTGAAGCCCTTTGCTGTTGCAGCCGTTCGTATTGATGTTGTTTTTGATTTTACTGCACTCTTCACCTGACGCTGTGCACACCATTTGCTGCTTCTGCTGCAATTCATGACGCTGCAAGGCAGATGCAACCGCACCACCCTTGCTGCACCGACGCCAGTCCGGCCCTGTACACCTCTTATGCGTGCCGACATGGATGATGAGGTTCGGGGTCCCGTGTCGGTGGTGACACGTGCCGTCCCCCTTTAAAGCATTCGCTATGTCCATTGACGATAAGTCCTGCGTCGGCACCGCTTCTACGAGGCTGACGTTGTTGTTCGGACTGCTGTCACAATTTGCAAGGCTAGTAAATGCCGGAACGAACATTGGCGTACTTACCGTTTTGTGGCAACCATCAGTGCATAACTGGGCCTCCCTGAGGGCGGTTGGGCAAACAGCATCAGCAGCAGCGGTGCTACTGCCCTGCCGACCTCGCGGTTGTTCTACCTCCACCTGCCGTGGCTCACTGTTCCCTGCGTCGCTGCTGTCGTTACCCAGGCTGCTGCCGCCATGTTGATGGTGGTGGTGCGGTCCGGGCCAATTATGGCGCAGAGACACACGACAGCTCGGGTGCTGCTCAACACGCTTCGCAAAGAGATTCAGCATCCACTCACTTTCACTCACGCAGTCGCCCACCCCCTAACTGGTAGAAATAAACACTTCGCCGCGGCCTCCCTCCTTTTTTTTTTGTCTTTGCGGGGGCCGTCAGATTGCAACAAAGGCCTTCACTCCTTCGACCTTCTTCCCAAGCAACAGCAACAGAGTCCGAGCACCAGGGGGGAATTCACACAACACAAGGTAGAGAAGCATACGCACACACACACACACACGCAAACAACCATGGCACCAGGTGTGGGTGTAAAAGAAGAAAAATAAATAAATAAATACACACACATACACGGGGCAAGGTAGGCTGCTGCAGCGAGTGATTGTCCATGCAAAAGCGAGGACAACGCAAAAGTTGCTTTTGCAAACGTCAACAACCCCCCCCCC